ACCTGAGCCAAGTACCGTGTGGGCAGCTCCTGAGCAAACTGCTCCTTCCGTCCCTGCAAGCAGCCTCTATTTTGACCTAGGACATCACACGCTTCTAGGGTGACCAGATGTCCCGATTTTATAGGGACAGTCCCGATTTTTGGGTCTTTTTCTTATATAGGCTCCTATTACCCCCCACCCCCGTCCCGATTTTTCACCCTTGCTGTCTGGTCACCCTACACGCTTCCCTACCCCTGGGCCTCCACACAGCTCTTGTAATGCACTTGGTCAGCGCCCCACGTTACGCCAATAGACAATACTGGTGGGTGAACTTTGTGGTTTTCTTAACAAACCACTATTGTCCCTTCTGGGAAATACAATTAGTTTTTCGTCAGGGTGACGTTGCTTCCAGGAGGCTAATTCACTGCTCACCTCGGCCGTCTGGAGTCTGGGAGACATCGTTCAAGGCAGGCTCCTCCACGTTATCGTAATCCAGCTGAGACCCCCCTGGGGAAGCTCCCTCTGGAACAGCAAACACCACACTCAGCCCCTGGCACCAACAGCGTCTCTTTAGGTCAGGTGGACCTTATACTAGAGCTGTTTATCATGGCATGTGAGAGGAAAAGTCACAGGGAACCCATGGTGAGAAAGGCACAAGTCAGAGAACTACAGTGAAACAGGAGTCCCAGAAATAACTAGGGGCCAATCCTGTCCCTGCAGAATCCAACAGCAGCTCTTGCATGTGTTTCAGTGGGAGCAGGATCTGGGCTTGTGTTGAGATAACAGGCTGGGACACGGGCGCTGCCAGGCCTGTGTGAATCCAGCTGATCTCTGCAGATGGGTTTGAATTTTCCTGTTACCCTGGGGAGGGGGAACCTCCCCTCTGCAGGAATTAAAGCTCCCGCTGGGAGGTCACTGGCCTGATCCTTTGTGAGCTCCTGCTCTCCACTAGCCTCTCAGGCAGCCCAGGCCTCAGCTTGGCAGCGCTCCAGCTTCTCAGCAGAACTGGCTCATCTGGTCAGTGTCTCCTCCCCCAGCCACAGGCTAAACTCCCACAGGGCCCAAATTCATGGACTCCCTTGAGAGCAGCTGGGGTAGAAATGCCACCCTGTATATAACTAGAGATGGGCCAGGTCAGGAAGTTCAGATCCAGGGTTTT